GGAGCTCGGTTTCTTCACTTCCTGAAGCTTTAACTCTCTTAGCCCCGCGACCAACGGTGCTCCTATCGACTGCACAGCTTCCATACACAGCACACCAACGTTTATGAATGTTCACCACCGTTTCTTTTTCAGCAACAAGGAATTCAATTACAGCTCGTTGCTTGTACCGAGAGTCGTTCACAGACGCCATTTTAACAGTTCACTACAGCTCCGCTATCGGTTGGAATCATTTGAAACTCCGTACACGAACGCGGGAAACATCAAATCTCAAGCATGTAAAAGTACACTTTTCTATCTTCATTATTGGCTGAGAAAAAAAATGTGGGGCATTACTTAATGAGCGACCCTCGTAATTGAAGAGTGTCTTAATGTAAAGTCTCTGAGATAGATGAAAATATTAAAACTATTTACATCACTACAAAGTTTTATCCATACTAACTGGCTTACAGAGCATGATCCAAAATAAAATAGTCTGTCATTGACTGTTGTAGTTGTTTTTGATGCAAGAAAAAAGTCTGTTTTCATTTATTTTTGTGTTCTAATTTGTTAGTAATTATGTTATTTATTTCAGGTGACTGGACACATTGAATCATGCAGAATAATATTAAGAGGCTCACTTGAATAAGGCATGTTAAAGTTAGCATAAATTTGTTTTTTCTTGCCAGTGCAAAATTTAATTTTTTGTTTGCAGACATTCTTCATAAGGTTAAAGGATATTGTATTCAGTTAATGATGAAGCTCTCCAAATCTGCTTAACATTATGTTTACAATTCAGGCACATGAATATAAACCATTTTATAAAAAAACATTTTGTTTTATGCATGTAACCACAAAAGTAATTTTAGAGGAAATAATAGTGTTGCCTCTGAAGTCTGTAGAAGTTACACGGTTATGTGAAATGTTTGGTTTTAAGCTTCTCTGCTGTTTTATAATGAACAGAGCAGACAAAAGACAGTGCTACTTCTTTGTATATTCACATTAGTAACTTATCTATATTTTCATTTTCTTCTGATATCAACTGTTGTCATCATTATAAAGGTATCTAATTTCCATGCACAAGGTATAGATACAGGGGAGCAGAGTCAGGAAGCTACTTTTTTAACTGAACTTAACAGAAAACAGAAGTCTTTTCAATTAAGTGTTGCAGCCTCTGCTCTGGTGGGATATAGTAGCATTACAGACTATGACCTATCCCAGGTCTGTAATGTAGGAATTCCATGTAGAATAAAGTATTTTGTATTAAAATTGTGATGACCACTGGAAATAGACTTAACATTTTAAATAGTGCCATTTGTATTATTGTAATCGTTATTGGTACGCTGACTAGATTTGAGGGTGAAAGGGGTATATTATAGCAGTGACACTGATGAGTTGGATAAAACTTTGTTTCTGTTTTGTGGGAGTTGAGGTGGCAGTTTTAAACATTCATTTAAAAAGTCAGAATCTTGTGCTTTCCAAGTTTTCTAGAAGACCGTCATCTTTGTATTTGCCACGAGAATTGTAAGTTTTACTCAGGAAATTCATCCTAATCAGTTGCTGTATTAAAAATAGTAATATTGCCTGTAGAAACAGTAACTAATTTTTCATTATCTAGTGCTTTTAAATTACCCACAATGCTAAAACACATATGAGAATGTATATTAGTTACACGGAATTCTACGCCTTTGCAAGAAGACTGAGACATGTTTCATTAAGCTTTTGAAATGTGTAGTATTTTCTTTGTGTGTACATGTTTATATTAAAATGTCAATTCCAAAGACTGAAGTATGGTTAATTATTTTCCTCATTGATTTCTCTGGACATATAAGAATGCCATATCAAAGTACTCTACTCTCTAATGTTTTACTTACTGTAGGCCTGCCATAATTTCTCCTGTTATAGATACTCATATAGCTTAATCACAAATGCTTTTTTTTCATGTACAAATGCTTTATTTTATATATAAATAGACAGACTACTGTTTTTTATACTGAAGCAGAAAATGCCTATAGTATTCTTCGCAGCCTAGGTTGCTATTTTGTACATTTTATGTCTTTGATGCCATGCTTGGAGAATGAGTGAAGCAGTAGGATGGTATGGATATGGACAAATTTGTTGAAGCAGTTTATGGTTATGCTCTATTTAATAATGTAAATATGACATACATTGTTTACTTAAATTTTTATAGCCCTAGTTATATTTGGTTACATTTTAGAGAACTGCTAGATGTGTCTTGCTTTGGTTATGGATAAATTTGTGTGTCACAGTGAAAATTAGGGCTTGTGTAAGAATGTCTTCTAGTTTATCAGAAGACAAATTGTGATATGAAACATACTAACATTTCTCTTCCTTAAACTTGTCTTAATATTAGTACAGATATCTAGCATTCCTCATGCAGTCAGTGTAACAGATTGTACTGATGCAGTGTTGGTCTCCTTTTAACTACGATTTGGTTTTACTTTGGGTACTCTGTTGAGATTTTTTTCTTCATTTTATGTCTTGTAAATGTGTTGGGCTATTGTGCATATGTTTTGCGCTTTATGTTGGAGCTGTATTGTGTATTTTGTTGAGTTTGTATTATGGCAGTGTGTAATAATGGTGATGGTGGGAGAATCAGTAGTTTCCCCCCTTTGTAACCCTGTCTTGCTCTTTGTATGTGCAGCTGTGCAGATCACATTGGGCACCACAGTGCAAGCCAGTAAGCCTGGTAAGTTCTAATACTTTCTTTTATAAGCACATAATTAGCTACCATTTTCTAGTATTTATTATTGCAATAATGATTAGTACATTACCTGATTTTGTGTGATGACACCAACTTTTCTTATCCTTGCTTTGGTTATTTATGTTTGGAAGTAATTGTATTTAAATGTAAATAAGGAAAACTTACTTTTAGTACATCTTCTTTGTTATTATTATTAAGGTCAGGCACTTGGTTTTCTGTTTAGGATACTCTGAATTAGAAAGTGAAGTAATTTTTAGATTTTTGGGGTTACCATTGTACAGAACATTGTATTTATATGTTCAAATGATGTGCAGAATAAGCTTTTTCACGCTCAAACAGAGCCCTGTGTATGTGTACTATGTGCTGAAATCTGTACAAGTTACCATATATTAAACAGTGGAAGGATAACTCTATCCATGGCTGCATACTGTAAATACTCTGAATCATATATGATGTATGAATTACGGATTTATCATCATAATTATAAGTTCAGGTACTACAGAAATGTGATATAATCATCATCTGTGAGTTTCTCAGTAAAGAAGCTTCATGGAGTTTTGCAAGTTCTTGAAAGAACTTTTGATGCCCGTTTTCTTACAGATGTTCTCATCTATTCAGAGGTCAATGGGAATTATAATTACTCTTCTTCATCATATCCAGATAGACTCTGAGTCCTGTCTAACAGGCACCATGGTCATTTTCCAAAGGTGACATGTTGCTTAAACATGGGTTTACAAAATGAAGTACCATTATTTGTACTAGTATGTATTTCAGTTAATGGTGCATAATAACAATGGGAATGGGTGTAAAATCTAAAACAAAACAAAAATGTAAAAGGAAGAATTCTCTAGAAGGAATTTTTACATTCTATCAAATGGGACTAGTACATTAGTCAAGGGTTATAGAATGTGATATACATCACAGGAAATACAAAGATAGCTCCCTGCGATTCTAAGGTCTACAGTGATCAACACTCAGTGCACAGTAGTAGTCTTACTGTTGCACTGTGCAGTCATCCCATAGGAGTAAGACATCAGCAAGAAAGGATGAGTAAAATTAACTTCAGATTGCACAAATACTACCTGCACCTTGTCGTGGTGGTGGGGCTTGAGTACCTCAGTGATCCCAAGAGCTATGCTGGCAGTAGCATAGCTACTGGTAGGGCCTCCCCAGCCAGATTGGTCGAGGGGGGAGGTCAGACTAAGACAGGTACCCTGGTCCTCCAGGTTGGGGGTTGGTCGCAAGGCTAACAACCTTGCACCGTAAAAAGGAAGATGTTTTGAAACCTCAATCAAATTCTCGGGCAGACGGACCTAACAGAAGGCACCAGAGGATAGGACCGAATGGAAGAGGAGAATTGAGAAGGTCACGGACCGGAGAGCCATAGAAGAAGAAGATTGCACAAATACTGTGATATTTATTTGTTCCTTGGTGCTTTTGATAACTGCGCCTAATCTGGAGCCAGGGCTTATGCTGAATGAGATGATGTGGGAGGCTGGTATTGTCTTATCTACACCACCATTGGATACTGGTCAACGGCTCACTTGTCAGACACCAGCTTTAGAAGAATTTGTTCTTGATATGGTGGCACAGAATCCATGAGTGGGCCATCAAGTTCACTGGAGCATTTATATGTGGGACATTCCTACTACCTGACCACCTCAATGGCCCTGCTTATTGTGTTTTTCTGCAGAAAGTGCTACCAGTGCTGTTTGAAGATATGCCACTGGCAGTTTCACATGTCATGTGGTTTTAACACATTGGGACACCATCATATTTTAGTACACAGACTCAACAGCACCTCAGCATACAGTTTCCTGACAGGTGGCTGGGACATGGCGGCCTTATATCTTGACCTGTGAGATCACCAGGCTTGAACCCTCTGGACATTTGAAACTTGATTCAGTGATTAATAAAAATATAATCTTCCAAATATTCCAATTTATGTAAAGAAGGATAATTATGTCAGTGATGCTACGTGGCTTACAATTAGAGACATAATTGTTGATTCTTATCCAGTCACATCTGATGAAGCTTTTTAAGGCATGACAATGTTATACATTAGTTAATTTCAAATGAAGAGGCTAAAAGCTCACGCAGTGGCTTCCATATGTAGTGGCAAGCCAAGTTATCAAGTGGCTCGTAGTTAGCTATAAGACCTTGTGTAGACCAGACTATAATGTCATTGTTTGGGTCAGACGTTTTATTCAGAATGGAATTAACATTGACCATTTGAATAAAGCTGGCAATTTTCAAACATTCAATTTTTGTTGATATAACAGGTGCTTAAAACATCACAGTCTTTATGTTCCTGTTTATTGCATCCGGGCATTATGGTTGCTTTCACATGTTGTAATTTCACATTTACTTTAATTATAGCAATTTAATGGTTACACAAGGCTAACTGACCTAAAGTTGCTTTGCTGTAATTTGTTTTTACACTAGGTCAGCACTATTAATATGTGGATATCTGAAGATGATTTTCATATCTGTGTAAATGATTCAATGTGAGTGCTGCAAAAGAAAAATAACAAATGAGGTTGCAGGATCCAGAATATAAAATAGGACAGTTAGAAAGAAACAAAATTAAAATGGTCGTTTTGGAAAAAAAGTATTCAATTATCCTATGCTAGCTTGACTTACTGTGCTATGCAGCAAACTATAAAATAACAGTATCTCATTTCTGGTGCATTCATACCTCCCCCAACAATTCTTGCATGCTTTTTAAAGTAATTATCTTTGTATAGTTTTGCAATCTAGTTCTTGTACTGAATATTAACTATTGCTGCATCATAGTACAGTAATAACCATCTATAATTAGAATTATTAAACATTTTTTATTCTTCTGTAATATGGAAAGATAATGTTGATTTTTTACAAAGTAGAGAACAAAGGCTGAATCATATTATAGATAATTGGTCTTCTCCAGTATTCATGGATTTTGGTTACACCATTGCTAAAATTACAACAGTATTTTTTACCCAATATTTTAAAGTACTTTACATTCAGTTATGTATAATTTAAGTTTAAATGAAACAAATATTCATCACATTATGTTGTAAGAATTTTACTGTTGCTGGGAAAATAGTAAAAAATTATGCATTTAGAAACATGGTTACAGTGTGCTGTTCCAGCATGGTGCAACATGCTTTCTGCTGTCTGCTTTCCATAAATGAGAAGTCTAATTATGTGTGAGGATTGACTGCTGAAGTAAGGTAGATTACAATTAATCTGCCTTTGTAGATATTATTGTTATCAACATGCAATAAAAAGCTCGTGGAGAAAGTTTGTATGCTATATGTATACGTGCTTTGATTGTAATGGCATGATAGATAACTACGACTGTAGGTGCTTGTTTAGCAGTGAAACTTTTGTTATTTTCTACCCTGTTTTCTTTCATGGTGGTGGCAGCAACTTCTACAGACTTTCTCAATGAGTTGTGTTACTTTGGTAAGAAATGAGCACTTGGGAGCATGTTTCAGGGAGATTAAAGTCAATTGTTTAACTAAGCCAATTGTGGATTGTTTACATTTGGTAGTAACTTAATTCTGAAGGTTTGTGACAACGGTGCATTGTTGAAACAACCTACTTTCTGGACATTATCTATTGTTCCAGATTTAGTGTTCTTAATTTTGATAAGTATTATATATGGATGCATATATGTTTGATAGAAAGGTATTTCTCCAAAGTTCAGATAAATTCGACAAATTATAACTTCAAGTTTATGGTTTTCTGATTCCTTTAGGAGTGTGAAAGATTGTAATAGCAGAATTGATAAATGGTTAAGTTTATATTTTTATCTGTTTAATCAAACCTAATTTGTACTTGAGCCAATTTGATTTTTAAAATTTAATAAAATGTGAACTTATGTTTACATTGTTTACCTATTTTATTGCTTTTTCAATTTCAGAATATTTCCATAAAAAGTTGTAATTAAATGAGATAACATTAAGGTTTGATGAACATTTTATAGAATAATATTGATCTATATGTTGTTATTCTTAAATATAAAAGTGATCATCATTCATTAAAAAATATTGAAATGTGGAATGTTGAAAAACTAATTCACTTACTGCCAGAATGCAGAGCGTTTTTTAATTGTAGCCAAATGATGTAGTGAAAGCATTTATCAGTCAGAGTTGAAGTTATTATGCAGTGTAAATTAATATACTTGAATTGTGCTTTGAAAGAGATTTTAATCTCAAATGTCATTAAAATAGGCTTTGAGGTTTAAAGTAAGGAATCATCTTTGTGAATACTGTTCACATTTGCTGTGTTCCCATGTGTTCTAGAATGGTCATTTCAGTTTCTTGTGCTTGACTTACTCTGTGTATCAATCTGTCTTTTCTCTCTTATTTGTGCTGCTCCATCAGGGAGCCCAACTGGGGTCAGCGTTGCCCCTCCTTGTACTGCATCCACTTCTGTCACAATTCCCATGTCTTCTGCTCCATCAAAACCACCATCTCCTCCACTGGTTACAGCTACTGCCTCTGTACCTTCGTATCCAGCTGTACTGAAAGACCGACCTCCAAGTTTTGGGAAAAGTTTACCCCCTCCTGGTGGAGTACCAAGTGCTTCTGGAAAAATTCCTCCTCCAGTACCTCCTCGGGGCTCTCCACTGGGGAAAAGAGGAGACGCTAGTGCTGCTTCACCCAGAGGTGGGATTGTCAGGCATTATCATACTTATCATCAGTTCCACCACCGCACGTTGAAGTTGGAGGAAATGCGCATGTCGGCACTCGAGCAACACGGTAGCAGATTGCATGATGAGTTTTAAATGGCTGTTGTTACTGGGTTTAGTATTCATTGCCATTTTTATTTCATAAAGTGTGTGCATGCTAGAAGCATGCATACTGATTTATCTCCCATTTCTGGACTACAATCTGATAAGCATGGCATGTATTTGAAGTCATAAAGTATGTTTATCAAATTTCATATATTGCTAAACCGTTGCATTTCTTAGTGCCTTCAGTAAGTAGTGCTGTATGTCTTACCTCAGACTCATAAACAGAGTACCAGTACCATTTTTGTGAAAGAGTCATAAGAGACTTTGTCAAGTTTTCAAGCTGTTGGATCCTTGCAGTACAGTTTTTATTTGGCATTATCTACTGCAGTTGCACATCATGTTTCAAGTTAAAGTTGTAAATTCGCTTAGCAATATAAGACTGGAAAATCACCTGGCACTAATGAAAGTGTTTTGAATAAGATAATCATTACCCTAGATGGCCACAGTATAAACAGCCCTATACTTCTTTGTGAATGGGATGCTATCATAAATAAGAAGAAATTCTTGGAAGACCTCATGGCACCAACTTTCCTTCACCTGTTTCAGTCTATATGGTGAGCCTAGCTAGAACTAGGAGCTAATTAAATGATACAATTCAGTGATCCATTTCTGTGTGCAATTTCAATCTGTGTTAGTTACATTTATCATATATAACCTCAAATTGTTGTCTTCACTGTTTGTAACAGCCAATAAAGAGAACATTTTTTGCACAGGATTTGTGGGTTTGTATGAGTTTATACACAAAATTTTATACACTTAAATTGTTCTTTTATTATTGTCATGAAACCAAAACATTGCATATTTCAGAAAATTGACACAAAATTTGAAACTGGGCTTAGGAGGCATTAGTGTTTCCCCCACCTGAGAAGTTCATATGGCCATCTTTGCTTAGGAAATTGAAAAGCATGAAGGGGGGGGGGGGGCACTTTAACTTTCAGGGATATTTGTCAGTTCAGAAATTATAGGGGTCACAGAAACATGGTTTTGAAGGTGCCATAAACCTTTCTTTATAAAAGAAGCAAAGTAAGCTAAAAAGAAGAGATGTGCCAAATCTGGCCTATGAAGTGAATGAAGAAAGTGAAATACGTTATTATATCTTACAGTAGGAGAATTGTTTCTGTTTACCCAGCCAGTACTAGTAGCTCCTCTTAAATTTCCATTGCAGAACAAAAATGAAGGACACTGTTGAATGATATTTTTGTTGTACATAGGTTTTAGTGGCACATTTGTTAATACTTCAGTTACAGTTCTTGGCAGATGTTGATTCTTCAGATATATTCTCTGTGGAATGTGTGGTTCTATAATGTAACAGATGACAGTGCTCATCTTCTGTAAGTATGTGCGGACTTGTATGAAAATGCCAGTATTTCTTAGAAACTTCCTGTCTTCATCTTTAGCTGAAGGTAGGGGAAGTATGTTCCTACAGAATGGTATATATCTACAAGTCCACATAGCATCACAATGCAGAAGACCAAATTGGCATCTTCACTGCTGTGATAACTTCAAATCTTATATAATAAAACACAATTTACACAATTTCAAGATTATGCCAGCATTAATGGCAGTTCTGTTCTTATAAGTCAGCAGTCAAATGGCTAAAGCTCGCCGACATCTCAGGAACCATCTCTGTCCCTATTATCAGGGCATCTGATGAGATCAGATACTTGATGGGGACAGAGATGGTCCCTGAGGAGACGGCGAGCTTTAGCCATTTGACATGGCTGATAGCCCAAGAGAATTTTATTAAGTCTTAATGGTTTTCAGAATCCACAATGTATATGCGCCCAATATGGAATTTGAATGAACTTAACTGTTATCTGCAAGGCAAGGAACAACTCATTTACACTATTTAGGATTTTTTCAGACGTTCTCAGATGAAACTGGTCGTATGGGAACACCAACTGGAAACTAATAACTACTGTCACTTTTCTACTACAGTGCAGGGAAATGGAAGTGGTGTGCATAATTCAAAGAAATACTGTTAATGGTCAGTGCATCACAATCATGATTGAGGAATTCATTGATAGATTTTCATATTCCAAAGGAAAATAATTTTAATATAAGATTTTCTACTTCCTGTGGACACAGCAACAGACCTTTAAGTGGAATTTACTGATTTTTAGAGTGACTCAGTGGTAAAAGAAATGTAAATGACTTGTCACTTATTGGCTTGTGTTCAAGATAGGTTTTCTCCCAAAAATATTATGAAATAAGAAAATGTGCTTTGTTAATGTTGTCAGTATTTGAGAATACCTATGGACGTGAGCAACTGTTCAACTTAATGAAGTACATGAAATCAAGAAGTAGGATATGTCTTACTGATGAACACTTGCAGGGATGCATGTGAATTACAAGAGTAGAAATTAATCCTCATACTATAAGATTACTTGAGCAAAAGTAGTGTCAGTATCTCACTAATAGATCTAACTTTTTTTTTTAAAGACGAAGTACTGAGTAATATGTGAAAACCTCTTTACAGTACCTAGTTGGTATGATTTTTAATATATTGCCCTAAAGTTTAAATTAATTATCCTTATTTATAACCTTGTGACCCACAAATTGATAAAATGTGAATGTGGCCCCACTTTTAATAGTTTGATAACTACTGCCTTTGTAATAACTGAGCCCACCATTTATGCTGTGACTTATGACAGAAAAGCTGCAAATCTTCGGTGCCTGAAATTTCATCAGTAGCATCTTGTTCCACATCACAGGATACGTCATTGGATTTACTCTTAGATGAAAGCTTTGTTTCCAATGTATGGCTTCTTAAGATTAATATGTTCACAGATAGGATGCCACCCATATTGTTTTACATTTCAGTAAACTTTTCTTCCCCCAACTTTTTCACGGTCTGTTCTGATTTTATGCCTCTTTGTGCAACATTTTTTATGTGGAATTCAAGTTAGGGTGGTAACAGCCCTTTTTTGGGAGTGTGTGTTGTGGCAGGTGCATGAAAAGAAGTTGAAGTGCCCAACTCAGAAGTTATTGCATCACCTACTTTTGTAAATTTCTGGTAGAGTGCTCTCCAGTGCTAATAGGAACTGCAGTTCATTGCTGCATATTTTCCAGTGGAGTATATAATTCACCATTTTTACTTTGTTGTCCATAAATATAAAAAATTGTTCCTGACTTCCCATGTTTGACTTATATTTTATCTTTGTTTTAATAAGACAGGAGGCATAGTTGTCAAAACTATTTTTAATCACTGGAGTTTTATCTTCTTCAGTTCTTTATGAATCTTTTTAAATATGCTAAAGGCCCTCCACAAGTGCAGTGCATGGATTATTACATTTGGAATGTTGGGAATTTTCTTATAGAATGGAATTTTTAATAACTAAAACTCTTTATAGCGCATGTATGTGTTACATAATTTGTATCTTGGACTGACTGCTATGCATAAAATAAGTAGCTTTTCTAATAATGATGTTGCCTCTCCAGTTATATAATTTTAATATTGCTGTGAATAGATATGAAAATCTAATAGTGTGATTCACTCTACAAAATGTTGAAATTTGTGATGTAGAAATAGGTAATTCCATGCTTTACAATTCTATAAATGTAAATTATGTTGAACTGTTTACTGTTTCATCTGAACATAAAGTTTCATGGTACCATTTCATAAATTTACAAGTATGGTCTACATATTTTTTCCATCTCCCATAAAAGACCACTCTGTCATCTGGCATTTGTAGTATGCAGGCTTTGACATATTTTCCCAAATGTTTGTTTATTTTGCCAGTGCCTGCAACATTTGCTGTCTGTTATCACTACCACCAACTTGTAACAAAAATTTAATCCAGTGGGCATGGCAGGTCCTTTCTTCAGGGGTGAAGTGCAGCAGGGTCATGACACTGACCATTCACCCCATCTGGTGGTGAGGTTGAGAATGAGTAGGAGCTATACTACTCTCCCTCTGAACACCTACATGGCATGTAGCAGAATAACTTTACTTTTTTATGGAAGCTTTATAGTATATATATATACTGTTGCAATAAAATGGAGTGAACTTATTTTTGACAATAACAAACAAACAAACTAACTAACTAACTATAGATGGATTACAGAACCTGAAGGTTCATCACTGAGTTAACCAAAGCCCTCCACTGGTCCGTGTCCTGGGCCAAATTTTTGACAATATCTCCAGTTATTGTCTGTTTGACCATTGTCTCGGCTGCCTTTGCAGTGGTGAAAGTTCTATTTCTGAGCTAATCATTCCTTTGAACAGATGGTAGGATAATGTTCAGTACAATTGCTGGCTGAGGGGACCTAAAGCTTAATGTGGATACTGAACCACAGTGGGCTCAAGTATTTCCTACATTTACAAAGCCAGAGGTCAGGCAATGGAAAGAAATGGAGAAAATCTGTGCTTGACATAGATGGTCTTGATCTCAAGACCTTTGGCTCAGACCTTACCTATGTACTACTAGATTCCCTGTTTTTAAACATTACATATTTTAATGCATTTATTACCAGTGATGAAAATGTTAATGTAATTCTTCAGTACTTAACATGACAGCCTGATGTACTGCAGCAGCACACAATATAGGTAATACTGCCATGAAAATGTCATTGTAGCATAACACTAACCTAGCCCATGCAATATATGAAAATATGTGGCCATTTTTATAACATACTTCTTATTAACTTAAGTGCCTTATGACAAACCCTTTATTTTATGTATTTAAGGTTGTGCTATACCTTCTGTCTTCATACTCAAGCCTCTCAGACCCTGGGGAAGTATATCCTAGTACTCACATTAAGTTTAATTGTTGTTTTATTATGACTTCATCACCAAAGTCCTGTTTGTGAAAGTGGTGTGCATCGTGTTTAGGTAAGAGAGGTTTTATCACATATCTTTCATTCTTTACAATTCTCTCACCAGATAAGTGGTAATGCTCTAGTCTGGCTAGTAGTGTGTTCTGAACCACTAAAATTGGAGGAATGTAGAAGAACTGTGTTAGTATGTAACACAAAATAATAAGTACCTGACCATTGTGGTGCACATGTTGAAGGGATGTAATAATGTTGCATTTCTGCACAACCCAACTTCTAGACCAGGATTTGCCACTGCACAAGATATATATTGAAACAAATATAATAGTTTCTGTCAAATTATATGAACAGTAATGAAATTCAGAATAGGATTCAAGGTTCTCGCCGTGATGAATAAAATGTTGGCTGTCTCCTGGATTGTAGTGCCATGTAGTCTGGTAGAAGTTTCCCAGTGGTTCAGAGGTCTTTGCTGTCTCCATCATCTGGGTGATTGTTGATGGAGGCAGCAAGGACCTTTGAAACATTGGTAAACTTCTGCCAGATTACACAGTGCTACAACCCAGAATATTGAGTATAATTCACTCAATTATGTATTGGTGACAGGTCTGAGACCACTTGAAACAGGGGTATGGCACACAATTAAAAAGTAGCTAAGAGATTACAAGAGAATGTATTTTCATGTAATTGGTTTGTGTACTACTGCTGTGCTGCATGTAGGTGGATTTGTGAGCAGTCATTCCCCTGTGCCCTGCTCTTCTACTCCTCCTCCTGCGTTCGAAGATGCTCTTCGGGGTGATCTTATGGATGCATCTACACCACTGAGACATAGGCTTGGCCCACTCCATGTGACCCATCATATTATGAAGACATATCGTGAATCAGAAACTGTCAGGTAAGATAGTAATGGTATATATTTGATGGTGTCCTGTGATTATACTTGTATTATAAGCCAGTGGACTAGTATTGAAGAATTGACCAGTTTGTTAACTAAAGTTTAATTACTGACATTTTCAAGAATGTGTTTAAATGTGGAAAAAAGTGTTGAGACCCAACATCCAGAGTTGTCAAAGAACTCTGTTTGGGTACAAGTTGTCTCAGAAAAAGTGGCGTATTTCTGCCGTAATTGAGACGTAGCTTATTTTGTGCTCATTTCAAAGCTAATAAAATGTCCTTTCCAGTGACCTGTTAAACTAATGTTTTCAGCACAGTTATGTTTTCAGTGTATTAAAATTTGTTATTTGACCTTGTATTTCACTAAATGTGTCTTAATTGTTTTGAGAAAAATATATTGTTTGCATGTAACTATTATTTGAAAGATCTGCAAATATCAAGTTGGGACAGTAATGGAATTGGGTTTTGAGAAGCAGTTTACTGTGAAGAATCACTTGACTGGAAATTAATTATGAATTCTGAGAGTATATCCAGAATTAAATATGTCATCTCCTCACTGTTGTTGGAAGATTTGTATCTTGAACCCCATCATAAAGAGGATGCTATAAGAAGAACTCCTTCCTGATAAATGCTCATACTATTTTTGTGTTTCCTTCCATCTCTTCTGTAAGCTACTAATTAATAGTAGCTTAATACTGTGCTTTCTCAGATTAGCTGTTAGAATAGTGCTTCAGTGTTCATATGTTCTGTGTTGAAAAGTAGCATGAAGAAACTAATTATCAATTTAGTCTGACTAAATGTTGAGCATAATTTTAAATTTAACTACAAAATTTCATTATGTGTATCATTAAGAAAATAAGAATGAATAAGTTTATAAATAATCAGTGTCTTATGCTTCACCAATACTCACTTAACTGTGAGGTGATAAAATGTGTGTTGTATACTCAATTATGAATTTGAACATCGCTTAAGTTCCTGAGGTTTACAGTGAAATTGCTTTAAAATGTAGTGTTATTAAAAATGTTGTTTGTTTCTGTAACATTATTTTTATAAGAATTGTTATGTGGAGAAAACTGCTGTTTTGCTTGTGGTCATGAACATTTTCTCAGAACCTCTCACCTGCAATAATATGATGTTCCTTTTTATGTACTTATTTTCTTTGTACACTGTTTACAATTAACATATATTTCGTGTTAACTTTACTTTTTAATAGGTCATTTATGTTGAATGCAAATTGGTGTTGTGTGTCTAAATCAAACATGGGTTTTGTGGCTAGCGTATGAAGAAAGGGAGAAATTCCAGAGAATAAACACATTTGTGTACCATTATTTCGAAAGTGCCTGGCAAAGAATTTGCAGTCAGTTTATATGTTTTTTTTATCACTTGTGGTTTAATGATGCTGTTATTAGCTCAGACTGTTATAGCATTAGATTGTGGTAATCTGCTTAACTGTGTTATTTCCTAAGTATACTGGTAGTTTTGCTAGAAGGTTGTATATTTATTGTTCACAATTTGTCAGAAAAAATTACCTCCTGGATTTTATTTATTTGGTAGGTATACTTAAGTGAATAGTGAAACATCTTTTTCAGAGAGGCATGAAATTCATTTCCCTGTGGAACAATAATCTACACACACGTTTATATGCATGTAGGTCTGCATGAATACTCCCATGTTTTTCTTTTAACAGCTTCTGCCAGCATCAAGTGAGAAAGTTATAAAATCATAAAGCCACATGCTTGAATTAACATAAATTTAATTTAATTATGTATAAACACTGGGTGATTTAATGTGTATACCAGGGGTTCTCATCCTTTTTCACTGGCATACAACTAATTCTGATTTAATACATTAAATGTAGCACAAACCAAATATGTTCAGCAAAAACTTCTTTTAGTTAATATTATCTTTTGATTTTCTTATTTAGTTCGCATACCACTCAACATTGGCTCATGTACCACCAGTGGTACGCATAACAGGTTGAGAAACGCTGGTTTATACCAGTTTAATAGTATGAAATGAATTTATAGTAACTGAGAAGAAGTCTTATATGTTCAGTTATGAATATATGCTCCTTAGTGCTTTACTGTTTGACAATTTATACACATTCATTTTATTTGAATGTAATCATAGAACAGGTATCCCATTTCCCCTACCTTGGATGTGATATCACCTTTGGTTAGACAATGATTTAGATAGAAAATTAAATGGATTCCGACACTTCTGTGGAACTTTTAAAAAGACCCTAAAAGGTAAAACATGGAAGGACACACAACTTAAGTTTTATAAAGTTATGGCAATTTCCACACTGCTCTTTGGATCAGAAACATGGACGTTAGGAAAAAGAGATATGAGCAGAATCCAAGCGGCAGAAATGCCTAATCCCTGACGATGATGATGACCATTTTATTGGTATGAATAGAAATTATGATTAAACCTTTATAAATTTAGAAAGGCTGTGGAATGTTTCCCCCTCCTATCAGCTTCATTACCCTTGCCCATTAATGAAGTTTCCCACTGGTCCAACCAAGGTTCTGCCTTGGCCGACTGGTTCTTACATCAAACCAATTTCTCACATGTGGCTTAGTCAGTGCCCTGATGATGGATTCAGCAAGTACCTGTGACTCAATGGTAAACTTCTACCAGACTACCCAGCGCTACAACCCATACTTTCCACCATGAGAACCTCAAATTCTACTGTAACCTTTCATGTTTGTCTGACTTATCACATCTGACATATACTGCTGTTAAAAGTTAATTTACTGTTAATGTAACTTGCTGTTATAAGGTAATTAATATGAACATATAACTGATACTATGTTAAGAAATTACAATTGTGTTGTATGTTCCAACAGTTGTAATACATGTTTTTGCAGCATATCGGACATAAGGCTAGAGTCTCGACCAGATAATAAATCATCTCTTAGTGTGGAATCAAGTTCATCCACATCAGGTTTTGGTTCAGGAGCTACTGGAACAGGACGTACTCTGACGTGGACTCCTCCTGCCTCAGTGGAAGGCTCTACTCCCACCTGGACAGAGGGCACACCCTCCTTCACAGAATCATCTAGCAGTGGTGATATAGGTATGTATCTTATTTCCATTATGGCACTTAACTCACACGGCATGAAAATACCTTCATGATGTACCCAACATCTTTGATTTTTGGATGTTTGCAGACGTGCATGCTGGCAAATATGTTTTGCATGTTCAAGAAACAAATGTATTTTTGGAATAGACCTGTTTGGAAGAAAGCATAGATATTGTTAGTTTGGCAGCCATCTACATCATATCTGGTTTCTTGAGGTACAGAAATTTTAAAATAGGTCATAATTTTGTCTTAATTTGACCAAGTTCATACAGTACAAGCTCCATTTTATTAATGTCTCATTGAAGGATACCATGATTGATTTTGGATGAGAAATTCTTCTATTGACTTTATAGACATTCTTATCTATTCAAGATTAATTGCTTGTATTCAGATTCTAAACTACCTTCCTGCATAATGACAAAATAAACTGATATTGCAGAACCACTGAACTAAATAACTTACTACTACATTCTTTAATTAGTATGTCAAGTTTAGTATTAAGTATATTGGACATGTATTGATGCACAAAAGGATAACTTTGATATAGACACAGTTTCAACTTTGCAAACAAAGTAGTTTTCAGCCAGTACAAAAAGAAAACATCTGCAGTTTCTTAATAAAAAAAATAATAGGACTGTAAAGATGCTAAGCAAATTTGAGAAATTTTTAAAGTTGTGATTCTTGTAGTCAGCTCTTCTAACAATAGTATTGATAATCTGAGTTATATTTAATATGCATGGACTGCATCTGGTGTCACAACCCAGAACAATAACATTGTGATATCTTCATTGCAATGGAACCTCAAATTTGACATATAAGTAAACTTTTCTTCAACCACTTTACACTGAATGGAAGACAGTAAGAAGTAATTTCAGACTTTATTGGTGTTTTTGTTACTTCAGTGTAAAAGTACTTGAAATTTTGCATCAAGCAGTCATACAAGATGGGTGCGAGTATAAAATGAAGCTGTGTGCATTAGACGTTGTATGAAGATGGTTGTCATCAGGTTTGTAGTGCTGTGTAGTCTGGCAGTAGATAAACTTATAGCAGATTACACCCATCTTCATACTCACTGCTGTGAGAGCCTCAAATCCTACTTAGATGTTGTATTTTTGTTACTGGTAAGGTATTAAAATATTATGTGATAAAAGTATTGTACAAAGTTTATCTTATCATTAATTGTTTGCACATTAAAGTGGAGTTGTGGTACTAAATATCTAATGTTTATCGGGCATATTAGCCACCAACTCAAATTTAAGTTGATGTTGGCTGTAAAATATCATCAAGGTCTTCATGTTAGAGGACTTAGAATTGAGATTTTATTACGTTATTTTCCACTCTGTATTATGACATGATTTTAAGGTATGCTGTTTATTTAGGCTGTTTTCTTCAGACGTGCATCATTTGCAGAGTTTGCCAGTGTCACTCTTTTCCAATTTTTATCCTGTTTTCACTTTCAGTATTATTTTGACCGTTGTCAAAAAATAATTATAATTTTTATGCATTTTTATTAGTCTTTGAATTCCACGTGAAATTATTTTATATAGTACTGCAGGTTGCTGCTCTACTGGTTAAATTGGTGTTTTAAACAGCAATATTTGTGCCTATCTTTGAACATGGATATGTTGATTTGTACAAGAGGCCTGTCTTGAAAATGCACTTTTAGCCTACTTTTTGTTTGACAAAAATATACAACTTTTGTTTGGGTAACATTTTGTAGAATGTAGAATGGCAGTTGTGCAAAATTTTTACTAGTGGATAATTGCAGTTGGGAATATGGAACTTTGTATGAAAATAGATTATAAACATTTTTGCATATTGTGTATGAAATATTGTTTTAAGTCAACAATTAGATACATGGTAATGGTGTGAAATTTTGGAGTTGTAGCCAGTAGACAGAATCTCTGCTTAATTAATAAATTTGTCCCAGAAAGAAAATGTTAATTATAATTATAACAGCAATATCAATCTTTACATATTTATAATTGTAAGTAATAAAAAATGTTCTGATTCAAGTAGGATGTTGCTTTGTTGCCGAGAATACGTAACTGAGCATCCTGACCCATTAGTTACATTGCATTCTGTTGTTGGATTATGAACTTTTATTACCTAAATATAACTTCAACACCTCAAGACTTGTACAGCTATAAGATTATATGATGGGAAAGTAGTCTTTATTAGTTCTGCTCAGTACTTTGTGTTTGCACTGTAATAACAGTTTAACGTGACATATATTCTTCTTTTATATGTTTACACATATAATCAGTACCAGTGTAAAGATTGCCTTGAATCCTATAATACCAGTGTAATTTCAGACATTAGAAGGTATATTAGGAAAGCTGTAAGATATAATTGTATGGTTATGTTTGAAGTTAAACAAACTTGCGTGGTGATTCATTCATATAATCATAATGGACTCCATTGTACTTTATAATACAGTGATCTTGGTAATTACTGTGCTGACTACCTGGTATGAGACATTGGGTTGTTTCACAACTGTTGGCAGGTTGTCCAACGACCCCAATCCGAAGTCTTAACGTTCGCAGAGGAAGTGAAGGTCCTAAATCTGCATCAGTAGATGATGTACTCAGTTCTCATGACTCCGAGATGGTGAGTTGAAAATTATCTTCCTCACCTACTTCTGGCTCAAGTTTCTGAACATGTGTGTATATATGTAAGTCTTACATATACTGGAAGAGTTAAACATTATTTCCAAGTACTAAACACTAGACCACATTATATTGAGGTCTTTACTATGAATGCAACCTTTTAAAGGAAACTTGTTTTATTCATATCCAGTGTAGAATATATGCCTGGTTCTCAAATGGAATGCTCATGCATATACCAGATTTACCTGACTATAGGGTAGCCTCAAGTAGAAGGCAGTATCTAGGTAGCTACACTTCTGTAATGACATCTTTTAAGTATTACCTCTCCAGTTAAAAATCTCAGGTACTGGTTTGCCAGTTTAAGAGATGAAACAGGTTTAGCTCTAATTAAATAAATTATATGGTTGTTGCATTATATGTAATATGTACACTATCTACAATACTGTGTGTGGAATACAGTCTACAAAGAATTCCTTGAGATTTGACAATGATTTTAAATGATGAACTGTATTATTTTGCCATGTAAACAAACTTTTCATATATCACATTGTTCTAGATTTAAGGTAGGTTGAACATGTGGTTTGGATGGTGGGAAACTTGATGTTTTATAGAAGTTTGGTTGGGAAACTTACTGAAGTGTGACTGGAAATTTAGGACACAGATTGGAAGCTAATATTAAAATGAAGCTTGCAAGAATGAGTTGTGAGGGTATGTTCTGGGCTAAATTGAAACTTCTTGTCATCCTTTTGATCACTACTAGAACAGGTGTCTTCCTCCTCATTCTCCCAAAGGAGACTGCTTCTGGTTCATCAGTTTAATTTTTAAATGTAATATCTGCATAATTCTGTGATGGAATCAGTGCTAATTGCTTTCCACAGTGTGTTATTTACTGATTTAGAAGAGTTACTGGTGTTTTTTTCTTATTCTTTTTGATGGAATCAGTATATAGCTTCCATCCTGTAGCCAAACAGTATACTATTAAGTTAGATGATCTTTAAAACATTTATTAGTGTTTGTATGCTGAACTTGAAGCTGGGAATTTATGCCTCTGGGAATCCCACTAATTGCTACCTGAACACTGCTTATCAAATACCCTTGAAATGCATTTAAAATTAAGATAACCCTGCTTCTTCAGCAAAACTCCTAATTGTTTGTTCCACATTTGTCTTCACACTTTTTTCAAGAAGCATTGCTTCTAAGAAGTGTTGTTTATGCATGCATTTTGATGGCATTACTGTGTGGTAATGTTTTTCATTTAGTAGATTTTCTCTTTTTAGTCTGACAAATGAGGACATCTTTCTCCCATATTCTGGAACTGTCAGAATAATGTTAATTCTGAGCCTTTTACTAGCTGTGGTTTTTGTCACAGTTTTTTCCATTTTGGTGTTTACTGTGATGTTGCTATTGTTTCATCAGCTTTACCGATTTGCCCCAGCATGTACTTGTGATACGTCCTGAGTTAGATTATATGTCTCTGAAACTTCAGCTTTTCATTACAATCTTCAGGAAGTTTCTGGGCCAAGTAGGTCTTTTTGATTGTCTGAAAAGAGATTGACCATTTCACTGCATAACCTGTCTGTTGTCTAAAGTTGTTGGCAAAAAATTTTTTTTTCTTAAGCAGTATTTGTTGCCTTAAGATATGCCTCACTTCTGACAGGATTTTTTTTCCTGCACAAATCAACAACCCCCCTCCCAATCCTTTGTGCTAGCCTATTTTTCCTCGCCTTTCATTGCCACACATTTGCCAGAGTCGCTTCAGTTAACCTGATAACCATTAATTTACAAATAACATTCTATGCAGTTCATACAAATGAAGGAATCTCTGTTGCTTTTTCTTGGTCTCACATTGTTGTTTAGCATTATTTGTTTAATCCTTTCATGTCAGACCTTGTTAAATGATGGAAATGAAGGATTTTTATTAGCAAATATTAATTTATTATGTGCAAGGACTACGTGTAGTTCTTTTCATTTCCCCTCCACGTTTCTTTTGCTGTATGTAGATACATCTAAAAAACAACAATATTCCTATCTGTGATTCACAAGCTAAACAATACACTGACCATTGTCTATTAATTATTTACCATGCATGTATAGCTTTCATTTAAAAACAGATTTTTATTTTCATCTTATGAAAAAGACAGAAACATAATGTGAGTGTCCCATTTATCAACATTATTCTAGTAACTGACACTTGATCACACACTTAATGTCAGTTAGTAGCCTAGTAGATGTTCAAGTAAACTTTAAAAAAAATAATTCTAATGTATTCACAATATTCACAGAAAGTGTCCATAAGTTTCAGCATTTATACGTAGTTTATTTGTCAATATAAAGTGTGAAATATTATTATGCTATATAATAGTATATTTGCACTGGATTCTTAATGATGAGATTAAGTGGACATCAACACTTTGCACTGGATTGTACAGTGTATGATTGCCATTTGGTATTAATATAATTTCTGTATTATAAATTAGTTTCTGTGTGATAAAAAAATGTTGGATGGAGTTTTGTGATACTTACTATTAATTGAACTTCCCCCAGGACTGAGGATGTAAGGCTGAAAACTCAAAGTCAAAGAAGACCACAAAAGGAATTCAGATAATTTGAAACCAGTGTATTTTAATGTTTATTTGTACTAAAGTAATACAAAAAAGATACCATACAAAATACAGGGCAGGACAGTGTTCATTCATAAATTTTAACAATAGAATAGTGAACCACAGTTTATTAAAATTTATTAAAAGTGATGTGAATTGAAAGACAAGTGTTTGCCATTATCGAGGAACATTAGAACAAAATTACTTCTTAAAAATAACAACCATCAGTTGTAAAATTGGATGCCATTTTAGGAATATTTCTCCCAGTCATATCCAAGCATATTAAACTTATTCTTGAATTGTGTGACATGACACCCTTGCTTGTCAGATCGATTTTTCCATTTGGTTTCATATGTGACTGTAAGATGAAGTCCCTTCTCCCTCCCATGTTGGTCTTCTGGTTCTGGGTTGTGACATGTACAGGGGCACACACCTACAAGACCACATGACATCACAGCCCAGAAGATCAGCACAGACATCTTCACTGCCCTAACAACCTTAAATCTAAAAAGAAATTCTTCTTGTGGTAAATTTGGTATACGTATGACCAGAAGACATATAACTCCATATGAGATACTGTTTCTTTATAGTTGTAAGAAATTCTTCTATTAATTATAGGGATTACAGATTATTTTAAGTGTATGTAGTTTATAATAGATTAACTTGTGACACTCCTTTTTAATATGTATACTGTGAATGAATATTTGAATAAGCAGGTCTGTCTGTGACCTTTTCTTCTGCAAAAAGAAAATATGGTCACAGTAGCCATGTAGATAAAAAATAAGTGTTTACAGATGTTCATATTGTAATAATGCCTTCTACCGATACTTAGCATTTATATTAGTTGTCCTTTGTAAGAGTACAGTATTAACAAAAGAAATAAGCTTTGTCTTGATTAAGTAAAGTTCTTTCAGGCATGTTCCAAGTTCATAAATTGAAGACTTCTGATAAATAACATCATGCACTTTCACCACATTTCAGGTGTGATCATCATCAGCACCCTTCACACAGTTAGGTCTAGCTGGACTGGTCACAAGTTGTATGGAATGGAATTTTTCCATCTCTTTAGAGGGCTTCCTGAGTGTTTTCTTTCTCTGGGTTGACAGTAAAATTTATTTAGATGTCTTCATGAAATGCATTTGTTTATATGAAGAAAAAAATTAAATGTAATTAGTTTATTTGGAGCCTAATTTAACAGTTTCCTCAGCTGTTTTTCCATCTAGGTCAGCAGTACAGTGATAAGCACTTGTCTACCAATTCTGTTTGCTTTTTCAGGGTCAGTTATTCTTGTGGGGTGGTAGTCTTTCAAGCATATGCATGCTACATGATTCTTGACAGTATAGATTTCTCTGGTCATAGGTTATGATGAATCTATTCTTTTTATTATGATATTGGGAGTTCATTGTAAAGTTTGGCCCCAAATCATTGTTGATTTCACTGCCTGACAGACGTTCTGCTCAAAATGTTTATGTCCTGTGACCTTGTAGTCTTGGGAAATATTGATGCTGCATATGAGATCACTTGTGTTTTATGAGTATATTATTCTCATGTTTAAAAACTACAAGAGGCATGTATGGTCAGTAGTTTGGAGTTCGTAGCTGTCTGAGCTGTCTGTGATCATAGATATTATAGAGGTGGTAGGTGCTACTCTCTCATTAGTGCTTGACTAGTCTTGTGTTTTAATCTTGCTACTTTCTTGTCGAGTGTCTCAATTTTGTGAAAGTTGTTAATGTATCTGTGTCCCTATGTCTGAACAGGAAGGCCAGTGTGATTAGTCAAGGCATTAACTGTAGTATATTTGAAATTGTGCTTCCATTTATCATCTTCCAACTCACAGTAAATTCTTTGAAATGTAACTGCAAAGAAATGAATGTGCATCTGACCTAGTAATCTGAAAAACAGCAAATAATAAGAAAACTTCATAGCAGTGACATTTGTACAGTGAAATGCCATTATAATGAACTTCAGCAGATTTTAAAAGTTTATTTAAAAAAAGTTAAGTGGAAATTAATCTATTATAAAAATTTGTGATTCCTCATTGTCGTCAAGAAATTACGTCATCAACAATGTCAACTTATATTTGTTTATACTCGGCATTGTTGTGTTCCACAACAATGCCGAGTACAACACAACAATGCCGAGTAAACAAATAATGCTTCACAACAAAAACTATCAAGCCAGTCGCATGATCTCTGCTCTAGAAGCAGCACGTCGCATTCTTGAATATTGACTAACAGTTGGCCTAAAACATCATAAAAGTGAAAGAAGACGTTATCAACTATTTGAAGTACCAACTCCAACAACTTCAACAAGGTAAACTGACACTCATTCGATATATTACGATTACGAAAACTATTATGAAAACTGACGTTTGATCGATTTTAAGACGAAGATTTGCAGGGGTGGGGCTGTACATAGAAAGTTGACTGACCAAGAACTGTTGACCTCTGAACAGCGACGTAAAGAACTACAACATCAGACATATTTAACAAATAAAGAAAAGCGAAGGGAGATTTACATTGATAAACGAGATAATATTAACGACACACGTAGAAAAACAGAGGAAGATTTGCAAGGGTGGGATTGGACGTAGAAATTTAACTGACCAAGAAGAGTTGGCCTCTGAATAGGGACGTAAAAACTTAAACATCAGACCTATTAACAAGTAAAGAAAAGCAAAGGGAGATTTACATTGATAGACGTAGAAAAACTTATTCAGCAAGAACAGAAGA